TGGGCTTGGGGGAGGCGGGGGCGTGGTCCCGGGCGGTGGTGGGGCAGTGGTCGTCACGACTCCAGGGGTGCTGGACACGGTCACGCCAGCAGGAAGGGTGCTGTAGTAAGTGGCCACGTCGATGCCCGGAGGGGGCGGGGCCAGACAGTAGGTGCCGTCAGGTAGCACGTAGTAGCTGTAATACATGGCCGCTACGGTCGCTGCGGGGAGACACGCCATCCCAGAGTGAGGTGGGGGGCTGGCAGCCCGCGCTGTGGTAAGGCACCCGCTAATGCCACGCCACTGCCCACCCGGCCAACTGCCAGCACCTATTCAGACACGGGAACAGCACTCACGCATGTGGCACAGCAAGTCAGGAAGGCAAAGGGACAGGGACGGCACGGGGACCTGTAAGAAGCCGCCTGTGCACACGCTCTCCGACTCACAGCGCAGCACAGCAGGCCCCTCCTACGGCCCGCCCTCTCTAGCCCGCTCAACACTGAGCTGCCCCGGGCCTCTCTGCTGTCGATGGCCATGGGCAAGGGAGCAGGCCGGCGTTTCCTGGCGTATCTTTTTGTCTCATCAGCAGAAGCGGCACGCACTCACGGGGCGGCGAGGGACGTGAGAAAGCACTCCATGGGCGTGCTCTTGCCACGACCCCTCCTCCTCCTCCCCTCGGGTTCCAAATATGCAGACAGGCCTGTTGTGTTTTCTTAGCCGCCGGGTCCAGGACTTGAAACACGCAGCCATGTGGGACCGGGCTGCCTTAGCCACCATGCCAGAGGCCGGCCCTGCAGGTAGTCATCCTGAGGACTGAAGTCTGTGGGTCTATCCCACATCCCGTCTTCACTGGGGATGGCAGAGAGATCTCTAGCTGAGGGATTTTATTTTGATTTTCAACTAATTCCTAACATTTAAGAGCACACTGGGCAGACGCTAAAAACACAGGGATGGTCATGTGCCCACCAGGCTGTATGCCACCCAGGTGCAGCACGGGACACGGGCACCTGGAGTCCCCACCAGGAGTCCCCGACCAGGCTGCACGCCAGCCGGGAGCAGCAGGGCACGGGCACCTGGAGTCCCCACCGGGGAGCACAGGGCATGGGCACCTGGAGTCCCCACCCGGGAGCACAGGGCATGGGCACCTGGAGTCCCCACCCGGGAGCACAGGGCATGGGCACCTGGAGTCCCCACCAGCATGGCCAGCCCGGCAGAGTCGGGTGCTGTGCACAGGCAGCCGGACCCCATGCGGATGAGCACGGTGCAAAGCCCGGCCTCAGCAGCTTGACAAATGGGCCGGGCGTGTGTGTGCTGGGACGGGACAGTGTGGAGAAACGGGCCAACGAGGCAGGGAGGCCTCATGGTAACCTCTGCTCTCGTGCCCTCTAGGGAGCACCCGCCCTCTAACTACTCCTTTCTGTGACTCACACCGACCCCTGGACTGCCGCCCTCCAGCTGGACGGCACACAGGACGGTGGCGTTCTCGACCCTTCCAGGGAGACTGTGGCCAAGATACACCCTTACATTGCTGTCCTGCCGGCAGGCTCAGACGGTGTTCCTGAACGGAGGCCGAGGGGAGACTGTCCGTGCTGAAGAAGTCTAGGGCTGGGGCCAGGCAGGTGCCGTGTCGGGGCTCCAGTGAGATCGCACCATGCCCTCTGTGACCCCAGAGGCGAGCCCAGAGGACTGCGGCACAGACAGACGGACATCCCATCAAACAGGCTGCTCCTACCCAATGGCCAGCCACTCCTGTGCCAGCATGTGCCTCTGGAAGGTACACCCCACCCTGGAGGAATGGAGCTCCCTCCCTGACAGCCGGGAACAGCTGGACTCCTAGACCCACCTCTCCCTGCACGGGTGCCCTCCCAAGGGTGCCCTCCGTGCCCTGCCCTGCTCCAGGGAGGCACATCCCATCAAACAGGCTGCTCCTACCCAATGGCCAGCCACTCCTGTGCCAGCATGTGCCTCTGGAAGGTACACCCCACCCTGGAGGAATGGAGCTCCCTCCCTGACAGCCGGGAACAGCTGGACTCCTAGACCCACCTCTCCCTGCACGGGTGCCCTCCCAAGGGTGCCCTCCGTGCCCTGCCCTGCTCCAGGGAGGCAGGGCGGGGCAAACCCTGGAGGGGACCCCGCGACTGGGTCCCAGCCTCAGCAGGAAGGACAGAAAGACAGAAACCCCTGTTCTGTCCTGCCAGTCTCCTGACTAATCGCAAGTCCAAGTATACTTCAAACTGCAGCCACAAGACAGTCACGTTAATTCACAGAAACAAGGGTGTAAGTCTCCCCTGACAGCGTGTATCACGCAGCCTCTACCAGGACTGGACAGCTGCTTTCAGCACTGAGCGTAAGCCCTGGAAGGCACTCGGACGCAGACTGTCAAGGCCACCAGCTCCCTAGCCTTCGCCATATTAAATCAAGGCTGTTAAACCCAGCAATGCTGGCAAGACAGCAGACTAATGGGACCCAGAAGCTCCCACTGGGACCATCTGAAAACGCCAGGTAAGATACAGAGTACAGCTGGGCTCCCCAAAACAAAGACGGGCTGTTTCCAGGTACGAACACGCGACACAGGAGGAGTGCCCGTGACTGGTGGCATGGTGGTTAAGGTGGGACCCCACATGGCTGACTACACAGTTCAAGTCCAGGATCCAGTGGCCTGGGAAGAAACACCAAGCCTGGTGTGTGTACCCAAAATCTTGAGCCGAGGATGGAGGAGAGGGGAATGGGTGTGGCCATCCCCCTGGGGGGGCGCTTTCTTGCTTTCTCTCTCCTCCAGTGAGCACACATGCCCTATGGCAAATTAAATAAACATAGCAAAGGTCTCTCTGGCAAAGAAAATGTTCCCTTAGGAAAGTGCCTCTAAACATAACCTAAAAACTGCATCGGTGACCCTCAGGTAAAAGTTTTGAATTTTTAATACTGTATTGAGTTTCGAGACCTGTTAACAAAGAACGGCCCCAACAGAGCTCTGGGTAGAGGGAGGAGCAGGTACAGCGACACCCGAGCCCCGCAGACCCATGGTGGTCTGACAGTGTGGGGGGACCGCCACCAGGAGGGGGCAGTGTACCTGGGAGCTCCCCATGGGTCCACAGTGGGTCTGACAGTGGGGGGGGACTGCTGCCAGGAGGGGGCAGTGTACCTGGGAACTCGCCGTGGGTCCCTACTGGGAGGATGCCTGCTCTAGGGCGTGGGTGGAAGACAACAGCGCTCAGCTCGGTGGGTGAGCCAGTGTGAGTGGGACCCGCCTTAAGGAGCCATGCCTGCCTCAAGCGCCCGGCCTGCTGTGGGAGTGGGAGCGAGGAGCAGGGAAGGAGCCAGAGAGACCCATAGTGAAGATGCATACATACAGCAAAGAGCGCGCCCTGGGAGACGCGGCCCAGGGAGAACGGGCTTTCTGGGCAGCAGACCTATGTGGGAAGACAGGAATCTAATAAAGCAGACAGGTAAAGCAGCCGCAACCAGAAGGGAGACTGCCACGCAGGGCCAGCAATGAGCCTCCCAGCCCCAGAACAGCCCAAGTACAGAACGGCTTTTACGACACGGGGATGATTTCTAAACCTTCTGTTTCACTCGCGTTTGCTGCCGGAAGGCACGAGCTCACCAGAGACAGAGAGAAAGAGGAGGGAGAGAACGAGACCCTCCCCAGTGGAGCGGTGGCGCCGCACTCCTCTCCCCTGCATTTCTCCGCCTTGTCCGGGTTCGGGGGATGTGTGGATGTGCACTAGGGTGTTTTAAAGCCGGGGGATCAGATGTGGACCTCGGTTGGTCACGTGGGCTATGGGGCTGGCCAGAGGGGCATCTCCCCATGTAAATGTAAAGCTAACACGGAACACAGAGCTGCTACGTGACTGGGCCAGCCGTACTGCTGGGTGGAGTGGCCGCAGAGCCGGTAAGGGTGTCACGGGGACCTTTATGGCTGAAGCTTATAACCCTGCTGTGAAGCTCAGGAAGCAAACCGAGGACCAAACACATCACCACTGAGCCCTTAAACGGCAAGGAATGAAACAGACATGGCTCAACAAAAACCAAAAACCAGTAAGACACCGACACAGGAGATGGACCCGAGCACGCTGAATGCCGAAGAGAAACATAGAGACCGAGTGCCAGGAGGAGGCCAGACTGGGAGAGGGACATCCAGGTGAAGATGGCGTCTGCAGCGGAGGAGCCAACGCCGGAACAGACAGGGTGTGCAGAGGCACCTCCCTGACCTGCTGGCTCTGTAACTGCAGGGTCCTGAAACCCAGTCACAAGCTGCTTATGGTGGGGGTGAGTGTGGAGACCGAGTCATGTGTGAGCACTCCAGAGCGCAGGCCAGGAGGGCACAGCCCACCAGGCCACATATGTGCCCTACTGTAACTCCACAGGCCTCTGCGACACTCGCAGTCCACTGCTGGCCCCGGGGTCATTGGGGTGTGTCAGTGTGTTCTGGGAAAATGGGAAAAGGGTGACTCATTCAAAGGTGAGGGCCAAGGAGTAACTCTCCAGAGCCAGGCCAGAGGTGCGCTGCAAGCAGGCAGAGTCCGGAAGGTGAGGCTGGAGGACTGGGAGTGATGCTGCCCGCGCAAGACTTGGCTGGCATCTCGGCCCCCGCCCATCCCTTGCTGTCTGAGCTGCCTCTCAGGAGAGCAAAGGAGCAGTGGGCCGCGACAGCCGGCAGGCCGCCCCGCAGCCAGGGTCAGGGCCCAGAGCTCGGGCTCCCTGGGGTGGACAGGACAGGCTGAGTTCTACGAGGCCGGGGAGGGGCAATCCGTACCCCTGGGTTTTATACCCAGATGAGGTGTCCTTTCGACACAAAGGCCAGAGGCATGTGCTGTTCAAGTGTGTGAGAACCCGCGACCCGTCGCCCTGGTGCTAACCAACAGCTCGTGGAGACGCTCCGGGAACGCCCAGCAGGGAAGGGCAGCTGCGGGGCGGGCCCAGACAGTGCTCACAGACCCTCGCAGCACAGCACAGCACTTCTTGTGTTTTTAAATAGTTACTTTTATGTCACTTTATATATATATATATACATATATACACACACACACACACACACACATATACACACACACATACACACACATACATATATATACACACACACATACACACACACCTATATACACACACATACACACATATATATATACACACATATATACACACACACATATATACACACATATACACACATATATACACACACATATACACACACATATACACACATATACACAC